GGGATCTGGGAGCGGTTTGGGGGGGGTTTGTGGGTGGCTGTCAGTTGTATTATATTAGCTATCATATATTATATATTATATCAGATGATATACCCTTGACGGCGACGGAATCCTCGATGTTGTTATTATTATTGTTATTATCTTTGGCCTTGAGCAGTTCGGCAGCAGCTCGTTTGCCGATGAAGCGACGGCGGGGCTGTTTGTGGACGGGCGCTGTCTCAGGCTGCAGGCCGGATGGCTGTCCTATCTCCATATTTCTTTCTGCTGTTCCTATCGACTGTGATATGTAATGTATGATCTGATGATATTAACTACAATTGTGTACAACTGTCGGTCGGAGGGAGAATCGAAAGAATGGTGATGATGATGTATTTGAGATGGCTGCAACCAGCAGACGGCAAAAATCTTTCGCCCGAAGCAGCTGCCCCGCCATAAACAGAAAAAGAACCCCACGTTTCAGATGCACCCGACCAGAACCTCGGTCGGTTAGCTTCGGAGGGCTCATTATATTATATTATATCATGACAGACCCTGTTCTTCTCTTCTTCTCTCTTTCTTCCCCAGATCGAACACATTTATTAGACAGAGACAGACCCCTGTCCGACCTGCTCTAATTATATATTATCACATCGCAAGACTTCCACTCCTTTTATTATCTATCTATCTATCTTATTTATTTTTATTTTATTCTATTTTATTCTATTCTTCCTGTATCTATTTTATTTTATTCTATTTTATTATATATAGTATACCATGTTCTGCGCCTCCAAGCACATCTTCGGTCGCCTGGCCCCCCTGCGCCCCTCCTCGTCCCCCCCTTCCATCCGCCCCTCCTTCTTCCCCTCCCGCGCCTTCACCCAGTCCCGTCTCTTCGCCTCCGTCAAGGACCTCTACTACTACAATACCCCTTCTTCTTCTTCTTCCTCCAAGAAGACTTCATCTTCCGATGAAAATGACGAATTTGTCAAAATCGTCGAGGTCGGCCCCCGCGATGGTCTCCAGAACGAGAAAACAATCGTCCCCCTCGACACAAAAATCTCCCTCATAGAGCGCCTCAGCACCACCGGCCTGAGGGTCATCGAGGCCGGTAGCTTCGTCGCCCCCAAGTGGGTTCCTCAGGTATTATATTATATTATATTATATTACCCTATTTACCTATATATCAGGACTAACTAGATGGACACAGATGGCCGACTCAACCTCAATCCTCTCCCACCTCCTGCGCTCCCCTCCCCCCTCCCCCCAACCAGTCACCTACCCCTTCCTCGTCCCCAACCTCAAAGGTCTCGAATCCGCCCTCCCCCGCTCCACCCCACCACCCCCTCACTCCGGCGCCTCCGAGATCTCCATCTTCGCCTCCGCCTCCGAAGGTTTCTCCCAGAAGAACCTAAACTGCTCCATCGCCACCTCCTTCGAACGTTTCGCCCCCGTCGTCCAAAAGGCCCTCGAAAACGGCATCAAAGTCCGAGGGTACGTCTCCATGGTCATCTCCTGCCCTTACTCCGGCGACACCCCGCCGGAGAAAGTCGTCGAGGTCACCAAGAAATTGTTGGATATGGGGTGTTACGAGGTCTCCTTGGGCGATACCACCGGTGTGGGCAACCCCTACACCATCGATGTGCTTATGAAGGCTTTGATCGAGGCTGGCGTGCCGGTTGAGAAGTTGGCCTGTCATTTCCATGATACATACGGTCAGGCTATCGTCAATTGCATGGTCGGGTTGGCCAACGGGGTTAGGGTTTTCGACAGCAGTGTCGCTGGCTTGGGGGGTTGTCCTTATGCGAAGGGGGCGACGGGGAATGTTGCCACCGAGGATTTGGTCTATTTGTGAGTTTTTTTTTTCTCTCCCTCTCTAATTCTTTTATTATAACTGTTTTTATGGTTTACTAATTGATTCCTTTTTTTATGATTATTTAGTCTACACAGCGTAGGTATGAAGACAGGTGTCGACTTGGAAAAAGTATCCGAAGTCGGAGCCTGGATCTCAGAAGCCATCGGGAGGAAGAATAACAGCAAAGTCGGACCGGCATTGTTGGCGAAGAGACCGGAGACGCCTGCTTCCAGCTAGTACATATATATACATTGTTGATATGGTTTTTACGTCTTAGTCATGACTGTCATGCATTGCATCTTGCATCTTCAAAGCTAGTTTTCTTCTGATTCCTTTTCTTTTCTTTTTTTTTCTTTTTTTATAAGTGTAGCTTTGAATGGCGTTTCTTTAGCTTTCGGTTTTTTTTTTCTTTCATGATTATTTACATAGACGGCGTTTCTCCCTTTAACGTTCTTTTTATATGTATATCTTCCCCTTCTCCATAGCTTGCTCCCTTCCACTGGTGGAAGCAACAAGCACTTTTTGTATAATAAAAAAAACCAGTATAAAAAACCATTTTCTTGATTCCCAAAATCCTTCAATATCAATATCAATATCATACACTCCCCAAATAACCCCCAGTCCCAAAGTACCTCCACCAACCATACATCTATACAAAGAAGAAAAAAAAAAACCTAAAAATCCGTAACCCTCCCATTAAAACTCCAATCCCCATACTTCGTCGGCTCAGTCTTCGGCCCCCCAACCTCCCCAGTAACCGGATTCCTATCCCCCTCGAACAACGGTTTCTCCCCACCGGTCAATAAATCCTTATGCGTCAACTCGGCGAGTAGTGCTTCTGGTGTCATTTCTTTAGCCTCCTTTTGTTCGGATCCTTCGGAGTTCTTGTGCAGGTGCGAGGTGGAGAATGACCCCATCGAGGCTTTGGTGAGGGATTCGAAGGTCTCTTGGTCGGCTTTTGGGAGACGGGGAGGGGAGGGACTCGGTTTGAAGGAGGTTTTGAGGGGGGGGTGGGTTGTGAAGTGGCGGCGGGTGAGGGGGAGGAGGCGGTGCATTTTTGTGGTTGTGGGTTTGGGGATGGGTTATATGAATAGGTGAGGTTTGGAGGTTTGGAGTGAGGTTTTGGGTGTTTTTTATATGTTTTTTTGTTCGGCTAATGTTGCGGTAGGCGGGACTTCACCGATGTATTTATATGGATAATGATTATATGGAACTTTGGAAAGGAATGTTTTATTACTTAAACTACTAGTGTTCTTCTATAGTAGTATATGATTATAAAAAAAACGAACGAAGAACTCAAATCAAAGGCATAAACTAAAGAAAGCAAGAAAGAAGCATCAATTCTTCTTCTTCACAGCCTGTTGAGCCGCCGCCTGCTGTTCCCTCCTCGCGTGCACCCGTCCCGTAAACCGGCCTCTATATAATCCATTCAAATCAGCATCCACACTTCACATAACCAAAAATAAAAATAAAAATAAAAATAAAAATAAAAATAAAAAAAAGGAATAAATACTCACGTAACAAACCTCGAAAACAGCCCAATCCCAACCATCATAGCCATCGGCGGCACCTTCGCAAACAACCCCACAACCCACCACCACTGATAAAGCGGCACCTGCAAGCTCCCATCGAACGGATGCGAATACCCCACCCACTCCTCGGAATCCTTCCACTTCCCTTCGTTCACCGCCTCGGCCATCCACTTCGCATCCGGCGGCGGCGGCGGCGGTTTCACCAGTTTACCGTCGGAATCGGCCTGCGGCGGTGGTGATTCGGTCCCGGGACGGTGGAAGGGCACTGGGTGGATGTGGCTTATGTGCTCGGTTAGGCCTGGGTAGGACTTTGAGGGAGGGTTTGTGTGGGTTATGTGGAAGACGCGGGAGCCCCAGGCGTTGAAGACGGAGCAGATGACTTTTTATATATTTGTTAGTTAGGTAGGTGATCTAGGTGATGGATGAGACGTACCGGCTTCTTTATCGCAGTCTACGCGGCCAAAGTGGATTTTATTGTTATCCTGGAGAAGGGCGACGGTTTCCTATATTTCCATTCTCAGCATTTCCTTCATATAACCTATCCTGTCGGTATACTTATATATCCTACATTAAACGTCTACACCCCAAATACCCATTAGCATCACATACATCCAAATAATAAATAATAACGATAATAATAGTAACCAACCGTCTCATAAAGTATACACCCAGGACAACTATCCGGCCCCGTAGTAAACAACACCAACCAGTCCAAATCATTATGCTGCAACATCTCCCTATAATTCTCCCGATCGATCGAATACACCACATTCGGCACCGGTGTCACCTTCTCCCTCCCCGGTTTCAACCCACCGGGGTTCAGGAGCTGTTGTATCTGGTCCCATTGCGCGTTTACCGTTGGGACGCTGGAGAAGGTGAGCGAGAGGAGGGGGAGGAGGGTGGAGAGCTTCATTATTTCTTGGGTTTGCGGGGTGCAGGTGACGTCGAAGTTCTTCTGTGTTTGGTAGATGGCAGAGGACGGGGGGAAGGAAGAAGAGAACAGGTTTTTTTAGAATCGATCGAAATTAATATTTAAAAAAAAATCGTTCCAGATTATTCCATACGCTTTGATCTCAAAATCCGCGTGTGGAACTTTTGCCGGTTGGTAGGTAGCTCTCTCGTAAATGTGTAGCTTTGTTCCTCGCTAGCTCCGGGTTTTTGGAAGAAAGCTCGACAGGGGTCATGGTTCGTTCGAATACGAACCCGGGACCAATTGGCTGGGCCGTGGGTTTCGAACGTTCTGCCATAGGCTAAATATGGGATTTTCCGATGGTTGTGGGTTGGATATACCCGGTGTTAGATATTAGATATTAAAGTGACCTGTGGATATATAATATATAATCGAGGTCGCTGGGTGGGTTTTGATACTTGATATCATCTTGGTTAGTTCTGCTCATAGTATTACCTTACAGTATAAAATATAAAAATTGGAGTTTAGCAGGTGAATTTCACACTCAACCACACAATATCAATCACCATACCACGAGACTAACAATCACCTCAAAAGAGACCCAAACTAACATTAACATTCACACCTTCCAGATCCAGCTAATTACCTAGGTACCTCCTATCAATAAAAAAGAATACATCCATCCCCCCAAAAAGAATAATAATAATGTCTACACAGCAAAAAGATATTCCGACACCGGGAATCGAACCCGGGGCTGTTCGGATCGCAAGCGAACAGATATGAAACCCGTTGTGCTCATGAGAGCGAACGATGTTAACCACTACACCATATCGGATGGTTGTTGATGCTGCTCACCCGTCACGCGGCCTTCTCCAACTTTGGCGGTCCACGCTCTCTATATATTTTAATACAAGATTGATGGGGTTGCTGTGTATTCATATAAAATTCATGGCTTTTGGTATTGACACCAGTCTGGTGAAAAGGCGGAGTAAATATAAAAATACAAGTCATTAAGATAAAAAGAAAAGAAAAAGTATATGTACATAAGATTTCGAATCAAAATCCCTATCCGCTCATGTCCTTATTCATTACCATCCGGGGCGTATCAAAAACACCTCCACCGGGACCCAATCTCGTCACAAAACTGTGGTTGCAACGATCGGGGCCTACAAAATCCTATTCTTCAAATTCAACCCCCTGCTGACCACAAACCCCTTCTGCTTCTTTTCCTCCTCCCTCTTCATCGCCCTCTCCTCCATTTCATGTTTCTTCACCCTCTTCTTCTGCACCATCCCTTCCTCCTCCCATTCCTGCCAAACGGCCTTACCGCGTCTCTTCCACCTCTCGTTCCTATCCGTCTCCTGTTCCGGTGTCGGCATCCATTTACTCTTCAATATCCTCCTCAACGCATCCGGTGAGATTTTAAATATGGGAGCATATTCCTCCACCGTCATGCCGGGATTCTCCTGTTTCAACTGTTTCAACGTCGCCACTGCGGCCGGTGACAGTCTGGTAAACGGATTCCATTTTTCACCGCCCAATTTAGTTTTCACGGAGTCCATATGTATCTTCCAAAGCGGGGTATCCTTGTCGTATATCTTCTTTTCTTGATTAATTGGAACACCGGCTTTTAACCTGTAGCTATCCAATGACGAATTCGGGTTCGAAGAGTTCCAGTTTAATTGACCGCTGTTGACTGCCAGTGCGGTGTGTTTGGTGATTCGAATGCCATTGCTTAGCGTTCTTGGTTTGTAAACTTCTTGCATGCGGGCGTGGGACCATAATGCCGGTGTTGACCATTCTTTCCAGGCGTTCGCCGTTGGGTTATGCGGTGTTGCCATCTTTTTGGAGATACGGTCTGGGTTCTCCCAGGGGATTTCGTCGGGTGGAGTATTGCTGGCATTCGACGAACGAGTCGGAAACTGAGATTTCAGAGACGGTAAGATACGATCAAGACTTTCCTCCGCCTCATGAGGTCTACGATCCTTCCGACGTCTCGACGTAAACGACAACGGCGGAGAATAATCAGACGACGACCTCGAATCCTTCACATCCTTCGAATCCTTAGTAGGTATAGGATTGAAATCATCCAAATAACTATACCCCTCCTCCCCACCCCCACCAGCATGACTACTCTCCGGCATCCTAATCTCATGATCCCTCATCCCGCTCAAATCCGTCTCAGGTTTCCAAGCAGTACTCCACGCCACCAATGAGTCCTTGTTCACGGACTTTTTGGCAGTAGAGTACATCCCCAGGAAGTCAGTCGTTCCCGACGATCCGGTGGCATTGTCGTTGATGTTTACGCCGTTTAGGTCGGCGCTTTGGTGACGAGGCGTCGAGGAGGATGTATGTCGGATTGTGGTCCTTGGGAGACGGGCTAGACGTCGTGGGGATGTGGTTGTGGAAGGGGTGAGGTCTGTGACCAGGGAGCGGAGGATGCGGGTTGTGCAGTTTGTGCAGGTCATTTTGGGACCTTTCTTGCTTTGGTTTTTGCTTTGTAGTTGATGTCGGTTTTGGAAGCGATTGTATTCTTTTTTAGTGGATGTGAATGGGTATTAAGTGAGAGATTGCGAAAGGACCCGGCGATGGTAGATTAGACCGGTAATAGGTGATTGGTGATTGGTGATGATGATGGTGGAGGTGAAGTTTTTTTGTAGACGGCCGGTGAGGTCGAAAGGAAGTTCGAGTTACCCAGTCGAGCTTATCGGTTTTCTCGGATGCGGGAAAAAATTTCTAAGAGTTCTTCGCAACGCAAGGGAAAAAAAAGTTTCCAACAAAAACTCCCCCGCCAATGATGAAAAGGGTTAGCTTTAGTCTGTCATCGCGCCATGGGCATGATGACGGGCAAACCGGCGGATGTGGACAATTAATAGCTCGTTGCTATTTTTTTTCATTCATTCCATATAAAAATGTGATATATGATGCGGGAAACTCGAAAAGTGGGAAAGACAGTAAGTCACACGGGTATTTTCGACGGAGGGAACGTATAATATACATTAGAATGAAACGGAAAACGCAGTTGCATCAGTGAAAACGCCGAGAGGGACAGGAGAAAAAAAAAAAAAAAAAAAAAACCGGGATCGCAGGCAGTAATGTCACGTATATAAGCAAGAAACCCGGGATTTCATTAAGTGGTATATGAATGCAGTTCAACTCATTTGAGTCCCGGCACCGACGCTTTGTGTAATACCAGGCCCATCCCAGACCAGGCAGCCTGAGCCCATGAACAAAGAAAGACCTGCAGCAGAATGACCTTGTACTGAACTTGCCCCCATAGAACATGGTTTTAAAAAAACAAAACAGAGAGCGCATATCCCGAGCAGTCTAGATGGGGTGCGACCAAACAAGTCCCGTAGAAACTAGCCGGGAAAAAACGGACCATGGTAAGAGATCCAAAATCCAACCCAGAGAAACAGGCATTATTGGGAGTATTTGAGCACTAAGACGATGCTGTCAAAGAGTGAGCTTGAAAGTATGAGGAACAATAGTAGTGTAAGGTTTGTAAGGTTACTTACGTTGCTCATACTCCGAAAGGATGTACTTCTCATGATTTCGAGAGATAAACAGCATTATGTTATCCAAGTGCTCACGGAGGGAATTAACAGCCTGAGTATCCATATTGGTATGCGCGATGAGTTCTGGCATTGTAACTATAATCCGGTTAGCGCTTCTTACCACAGTCGATGCGCCTTGGGCCAGAACATACCAAATAGCCTGAGGAGGTGCTCGGTCCCGTACAGATCGCACATGTTTTTATCCGGGTGCTCCTTCTTGATGTCATTATACTGGTCACGTTCGAAGCGATAAAGCAACATAGTTCCGAGGCATTTGTCAAAGTACGCCCTAAGGCCTTGAAGGATCTCCTCGTATGATTGTCGCTGCTGGCTTCCACTAGGATAACTCGATTCGGTGGCTTCGAAGTAGTCTTTCAGGAACGTCGTCACGGTAATATCTCTAGGCAGCTTGACGAGAGTACCATTCTTGGTGACATTCTCCCAATCGTCGACAAGGAGCGACTTGATGATCTCGGGGACATTCAATTTGATTTCGTGACGTTTAATAAAGTCCTCCTCCTGGTGGTATGTTAGATTGATTCATCCGCAAAAACAAAAGGAAAAGGGGAGAGAAAGAGAGATGCGCATACCTTATCCATGTCCATTTCCCGGGCACGCTTCTGGCCTCGAACGGTGGGCACAACTGGCTCTTCGGCATGAGCTGGCTTCTTGTCCTTCTCGACCTTCTTCTTGGGGTTATGTTCCTCCCGTAGCTCTTTTTGCTTCTGGAGGTTCTCATCATTCCATCCAAGAACACGGTCCTGAGGAACCCACTCGTCCCAGCTGGACTTCCATCCTTTGTAGTGAACTTTGTAGCTGTAGCTAGCCCCTGGTTCGCCGGGGTTCTTAATCTCGAGAACTTTGGCTTCGTACAAAAGAGGGCCGTGGAAGCAGAGGACTCGTTCGCTAACCTCGTAGAGTGGAGGAGCTTGCTTGGCAGCCTTTGGAGGCATTTTCGAAACTTTATAGAAGTACTTAGGTAAATAAGTAGTTAAGGAGCGGATCCGATCAAGGTGTGTATATATTGAGGTGCTGCCCCGAAGCCCGCACCGCGGAGTATAAATATGACGTATTGGCCGTAGAGCAGGGGTAGCTCTAGGTATTGACGGACTGGCCGCAATCCAGTCGGAGGAGGAGACGATGGGGAGTCGGAAGGGAGTCGTGTCGAAGATTAGAGGCGGCTGGTTGTGTTGATGCGAAACGAAAGTTGGAGATGAGAAAACGAACGCGTTTCGTGCGACCAATCGAGGAACTCGGTCTTGGCGCCGGTTTTTGTGCCCAGCCGGCGTGCCAGGCGAGCTGAAGAGAACTTAAGTCTAGAACCAATGAGAACCCCAGATTGTCAATTGGATTACCTGCATGCGCGCGGAATGTCCCGACAGATGTCTGAGCTGAGCTATGATGTAAATATTCTACGACAGCCCTTCACGATCTCGTATCGATTAGGTACTTGTTAATCGGGAGGCACGGGTCGAATTACAGCATAGCTTCGTGTGCCTAGTGGACTAGTCGACCGAACTCCTGTCAAAGGGTCCTATAGAATGCACCGGCCTGTGCTAATCATGCAGGTCTGGACTCGATACCGTCCGTTTGCAAGCCGCTCCTTGCTCCAGCAGACGCACTGATACATTCCTCTGCAAGCTTACAGATATTGCTCCTACCTGTGTGACGTTGATGCTTGTGCGACAGTGAACTCCCCCTCGGATCCTCTCCTTTCGTGGCTGTGACCATGGTTGCACCAGGCCAGAGACAAGATACATTTGCGTACATGTGTAATTTAATATACACCGAGATGCACAGGCCAGACAGAGATTGACCTTGATTATGATTATCTGGCTCTCGGTCGCTAGTCTATTTATCTGACATATCATATATCACTGCTGCATCTGATAACTATCGGTTTAAAATCTTCGGGGTTTCAAATGCTACGGAAGGGAGCAACCCTGCAGCGAGCTATATCAAGCTGCAATGCCATGCCATGCCGGCCATGCCATGCTGAAATTTGACATCGCTTTATTACGGCATGCATATCCCGCTTCGCATGCTCGCGATATACGACGGGCTACTAGTATGCTAGTACGTAGGCAGGTAGGCACCTAGGAGGTACCAGGCATGCATATAAGATTTCCGACATAATAACCCATTTAGCCATCGACAACGGTTGGCTTTCATCATTCTGCCAGCCGATCAGTAAACCCTTCGCCGAAACACGTCAAGTATACGTACCCGGCCATATACATTGGAAATATATCTGAGTATGTGTACGCATGATCATCTC